CTGCTATACTTAGGAAACTCTCATGCCAAAAGCTTTGCTAAAAGACAGTTGGGGCTCATCTACACAGCAGCATTATTTCGGAACTAACTACACGGCAGGCCATTATTTTGAAATAATGTCGAGCTGGACTTCTTACTCCGACTCCGCATGTAACCCTCATTACACGAGGAGTAAGAGAAGTCGGAGGAAGAGCGCTCATCCTTCGATTTCCTGCTGTGTGGACAGCGCCAAAAGCCAAATTAAACTATTTTGACTTCAGCTATGCAATTGATGTAGCTGAAGTTGCATAGCTTAATTCAACTTTAGTCCTGCTGTGTAGACACACCCTTAGAGGGAAACAGGTGTTACAACTTATTTTAGATTACATGTCACAGAGGGGTCGCCATGTTGATCTGTAACTTTAAAAACAACAGTGGTCCTGTAGCACCTTGGAGACATATTTTATTTATATTTATATTTATATATATATATATATATATATATAGTATTCATGAGCTTTTGTGGGCACAACCCACTTCCTCAGAGGAGCTGGAGTGGAAAAAACAGGAACCCAGAATTTGTAAACTTCAAAAGAAAACCCCTAATACAGCTGGAACAGAGAATGTGAAGTTGGAAACAAGATGCTTTATATGTACATGCAGAAAGGCTGACCACATCTCTCATGTGCTATGGGGTGAAGTGCTGAATGAATGAATGAATGAATGAATGAATGAATGAATGAAAACAGAAGTGTTTTCTCCAGTTTGTTGTATGCAGGACATGCACAGAAGGAAACCACCCAGGGATGGACAAATCTCAAAACAGGGATGAGCCTGACTTGGTCCAGATTGCTAAGGTACCTAGACTGGGCTAGGAATTATAATGCTTGGCAGTTAGTGTCTGATCTGTATTGGATCCAAACTCTGAGGAATTTCAGGTCCAGGCCCATTTTTTACTCGTGCTTGGCATTGTCAGAGAGCTGTACATCATTGGGCCTCGCAGTGAAGCAGTTAATGATTATTAGCCCCATTTGACAGATGGGGAAGTTGAGGCACAGATCAGTGCCATCACCTGCCCAAGGCTACTCAGTATAGGCATGTCTACACAGAAGATCAATGCTGTTGAGGTCGATATTCTGGGGTTTGATTTAGCGGGTGTAGTAAAGACCCACTAGGTCAAACTCAAAGGGTGCCCCCATCAGCGCCAGTACTCCTGCTCCTCACAAGGAGTAAGAGAAGCGGATGGGAGTGTTTGACCTCCCACTGTTCAGATGGGGATTTAAGATACATCAACTCCAGCGACAGAACTGGAGTTGCGTACCTCAACTTTCCCACGCCATGTAGACCAGGCCCTACTGAGTAGGAGTCTGGATTAGAACTCAGGACTTCCTACCCATCAATCTCACAGTCTACCAGCCCATGATACTGTCTTTCTAGAGCAAGTCCCCATTATTTCCTGGTGCTGGCTGGGCCATGATGGGTATGGGAGAGGATGAGACAATTGGAGGAGAGTGGGGATGAAAACTTTAAAAAAAAAAAAATTCCCCAACCAACCAACCACAAACAACAAAAAAACCCTGACAGAATTTTCAAACTTCAAAACAAAAAGAAAGTTTCCGGTTTGGTTGGCACTTTGGAGGAAGGGTTGAGAAGGCCCTTATTTATCAGAATGGATTTGGCATGGCCTTGAAATAGAGGCTGAGGAAAATACACTAATCATGGCTCAGTTCCCAACCAAGCACTTAAGCACATGTTCACATTTCAGCAAGCAGTTGAGTCCCATTGAGTGCGGTACGTGTGCAATAGACGAGACCAATACAATCTGTTTAGTCCGAGGGGAAAGGTGGGTGTGACTGGGGAGGGTTTCTGCTGAACAGGTTGTCACGTTGGAGTCTATTTATGATCCTATAGCCTCACAGAGGTAGGGTCGGCACCTTTGCATGCCCACCACAAAGGTGGACTTTATGTCGCATTGCGTATGCACAGCTCATTTGCACCCACAGGTGAAATGACTTGTGCTCTTCCATGTTTGGCCATGAGCTCAACAGTGGGCCCAGCTGGCTGCAATTCCTGAGCTGCTTGCTAGGAGACGGGTTCTGTTCCCTAGTGAACGCGCCCCTTTCCATGCAAGGTGAATTAGAAACCCAGCGGGGTCTTGAGGTGAGAAATGGGATGTCACGGGTTTCTCAGGAAAGCTAAATCTGAGAGGCTCGGAACGGCTGTGAAACACGGCTCGAGGGACGTCCTGGGGAACGCTGCACCCATTTTGCATGGAACTAAGGAGAAAGTCCGCATCAGCCGTGCTGCATCATTGCATGCTCTTGTACGAGGGGTGTTTCACATTCTTGTACAAGGGGTGTTTTTAGACAGCAGCCAGGTGTCAGAGCTTAGAAAATAAATGGGGAGGGGAGACTTGGGGAAGACAAGGGGGTCAGAGGAATCCAATAATCCTGCCTTTTCTCATAAACTACCTCTCTTCTCAGCACCCCCTGGGACTGCCAATTCAGGCATTCCCGGTGACTGTGCATGGGGAGAGGAAGAGGGATCCTTGATCGATCACCATGGGGCAGGAGAGCTCTCCCTTGGTAAAGATTTCACACCCAACTAAAAGTCTGATGTCAGAAAGCCCTGGATGGGCTCCCCATCTGTTATCCCCTGCTTGTGATAAATAGCATGTCCTTCATCCAGTGCAATACATCTTGCCTGATCTAACTTTCCCAGTGGCTGGGAATGCAGGATGCCCAAGCATAGGCATGCTGCGCGTGCACAGAAATGTCCTACACGATGGGATCGCCGCCCAGCTGTCTGCCAACCCATGGAGATCCTGCCCTCCGCCTGCGGCGCTCCTCTGCATTCCAGCTCGCCTCCTCTTACTGCAGCAAAGAGGACTTAACAAGGCCAGCACACAAGTCTCCTGAGCTCGGGGTTTCTCCCAGAGTAACTAGTCACTAGATCAAGCACCTTACCCGGGTATGGAACGCAGTAGCTTACGCGTGGTGGTGCCACATGAAAAATGAGGAACTGGAGGGCAAAGCTCCTTTGACAAGAACTACTGGTCGGCTGACTGGTGTCAGCAGTGGGATTCTGGGGGACAGTGGACAGCCCATGGTAGAGGGGCGTTCCAGTATCTTCCTGTAGAGTCAGTAATTCTGTGGATGGGTCTTGTGGGAGCATGTAGTCCTCTCCTTTCTCAGTGCTTTGACCTCCATGGTGACAAAGGGAACAAGAGCCAGGTTTAAAATATACTCTGCCTCCTGTTTTTCCCTCGGGCTGGAAGAGAAAAAGGGGGGGAGCGGGAGAGAGAGAGAGAGAGATATCAGAAAGGCTACATAAGAGCTTCTTGCTCATGTAACCCATTAACAGAGTCTGGCACGATGTCTCCTTCTAGTGGCCAGTTCATGTGTAAAAGTTTCATGAGTCAGCTACAAACTTTGAGCCAAGGAAACAGTGTTTGAAGATTATATACTGCGTGGGTCAGGCCAAGACTGGTCCCCGATACAGCTGCATCCAAACCAGCGGACTTACGCGTGGGGGCCCATTAGGCTCATGGTGCTTTTCTGGACACATGTGAACATGAACCAATCTGCCAATATTACAAAGCTAAGGAAAAAGGGCCCTGCGTGGCAGGCTTTGGAACCGAACTCGCCCGAAGCTCAGGGACGTTGTGATCGGATGTGTTCAGTTTGGTCCAGGATTCAGCCACCTCATCTGTATCTTGATCCACACTTCACAGGACATGAGTGCCCTGATACATGGTTCTGGTTCGGTTCACTACCAAGACCCTTCTGAAGCAGGGCGTTGGGGAAGCTAGCAATGTTCCCTGTAATTTTTTCCATCCATGTGCAGAATAAATGTTGTTCTGTGCACTGAGGCATGTGCGAATGTGCACCACCCATAGAAATACAGGCTGCTGGCTGTCGGAAGCTGTGGGCACTCTGTTAATCAGCTGGGCGGCATATGACTCTCTCCTGGTTGGCCGCAAAAGCGCCCAGCTTACAGGGAACACTGAAGGCTAGGACTGGGACCTGTGTCTGGCCTGCTCTAAGGGTACTGTATTGCTTTTCTGTAGGACCTTCCTTCTGCGGATCTCCAAGTGCCTGCCTGAGAACCCAGGTCAGTAAATCTCCAGGAGACAGAGATGGGACCCGGCCCATCTCAAGGGTCACACAGCAGGGCAGTGGCAGAGCTGGGAAGAGAGCCCAGGAGTCCGGATGCGTAGCCATGACACCGTAATTAGGCCCAATCATTTCCTTTCACTAAGACACTTCTTACCAATTAACCGGGAGGGACTCTGAGGTGGGTTCATTTGCCTGTGGGTTGGTGGAGCGGGAGAGGCTACTTGGCGGGATTTCCCAAATGTCCAAAGAGACTTTCCCCTCATTTTACTCTGAAAAAACATGCAACGGGACCCGTGTGGCTGGTGGAGAAGGTCAATGCAGTGCGGCTTATGCACCACCTGCCTGGCACTGCCTGGCAGGGCTGGACAGACTGGCAGGGTATCTGGAGCGTGAGATGTTGCCCTTGGATGCAGTCCAATGTCAAAACTGCAGCATGTGTCTGCCTGGCTACACCTGGGCAGGCCAGCATTCCCAAGGCCGGCAGGAGACAGGCTCGGTTAAACCAGTGCCCGGGAGGCAGGGCTCCGCCCACTGGCCTTGCTGCTCCTGCTGTCAGTCTACACAAGAGCTGAGGGTGTAATCTGGGATTGAGCCGTGCGAGCTGGGATTGAGCCAGCGTGCTAACCGCAGCAGCGTAGCCATGGCGGCGGGATGGGCTAGCTACTTTAGCACCTACCTAGGGTGTCAGGCAGAACCAGACCTGGTAGCCTCTTGTGCTGCCCATGCGGTGGCAGCCACGCTGCTGCGTGTAGTGCTATCTCCCTCAGGCTACGTCTACACGGCGTGTTCTTTTCGGCAGCAGATATGCAAATGGAGCCCTCATTTGCATATATGACTCTTATTTGCATATCCTCTTCCAATCCTTTTTGCGGAAGAGGATATGCAAATAAGAGTGCGGTATAAAGCCCCATGTAGACGGGGCCATTTGTTGGAAAACCCCCTTGTGCGCAAGATCCCTTATTCCTCAAAAAATGAGGTTTACAGGCTCTTGCGCCAAAGGGTTTTTTTCTGATGAATGGCCCCATCTACATGGGACTTTTTAATCGCAAAAACCTCTTCCGCAAAAAGGATTGGAAGAGGATATGCAAATAAGAGTGCGGTATATGCAAATGAGCGTTCCATTTGCATCTCTTCTGCAAAAAAACCCACACCGTGTAGATGTAGCCTCAGTGGCACGGTTACATCTGCCCAAGCTAGGAACCACAGCTCCCAGTGTAGACAGACCTATGTCCACATGGCAGGGAGAAAGGCAGCTCTTGCGGTGAAAGCCACAGGACTGAAGCAGGGAAACTGGGGCCTGTTTCAGCTTTCCCTCATACTGGCGCCCACTGGGAGTAACCTGTGATGGAAAGCACTGTAAGCAAGAGGAGGGTCTGGGCCCTGAATGCTAGTCTCTCAAAATGGCTAGGTCTGGGCACACCCGACCTGGCACCTCCTGCCTGAGGGAAGAGGGCGTGAAACAGCCACTGGGGAGAGCACAGGGTTCAGACGTGGCAGCGTTTTACACCCGAGGGGTAAACAACTCCCCGTGACGCAAATCAGTGAAGAATCAGGTTCATTGTGTGATCTTGGACAAGGCCTCTTTCTCTGCGCCTCTGTAAAGCCGGGATAGGACAGTATCTACCTCTGGGAGGCAGGGGCGCTGTGTGGCTCATTGCACATGTGTTTGTTCTGAGCTCTGGGATCCTCTGGGGGAAGGTGCTGCAGGAGAGCACGGTGCCTTCTGGCTCTGTGCCTTTTATCCCACTGGGCCGAGACCAGGGCTCTGCCCCCCGCTGCGGCATCCTACCTGACTGCTGAAAGGCTGAGCTTCGGTAGCCAGGGTCCTTCTGAAGCTGTATTTCTTTCAGAGAGAAGATGGAGGCATCTGGGTGAAGGGAGAGAGAGAAGACATTGAGATTTAACCCGACTGGCTGGAAGCACAGCACCGATACACCCTCTGAACTTCACCCACCGTGCTGACTCCAGGGCTCCCATGGTCCCAGAATTCCCCAGCCTGTAGTGCCCACAGGCCAAGGATCCCTCAACATTGTTGTGCCCCCAGTCCCACAATTCCCCTCCCTACAGGCTGAACCTCTCTAGTCTGGCACTCTCTGGTCCGGCAACATCCGTGTCCCAGCATGAGTGTAGTGAGCTGGATGTCCACTGATCATGGGTGTGACCAAGTTTCCCACAGTCCCAGAAAGTTTGTTTGCAGCCACCAGTCCTGGCTCTGTGTTCTGTGCTGTTATTTAGCTCCAATTTACCCCTACATGTCTCCTCAGAGCCCAGCAAGCACTGGAAGTGTTGGTGATGCGGCTAGACAATATTAACCCCCCACGGTCTGGCAAATTCTCTGGTTCGGCACCGATCAGATCCTGAGAGCACCAGACTAGAGAGGTTCAACCTGTACTATGCCACAGCTCCAAGCTGCCTGAATAACTGGCTCCCTATTTCTAAATAGGCACCGAGCCACAGAATGGGTATCCCTAAAGAAACATATGCATGGGCACAATCCTTAGGGTGTGGATGAAGGTCTGTCTATGCCTATTAGGCCTGCTTTAGGACTCAGCAGCTTCTCCTTCATGCAGGAGCAAGCAGGGCCGACTTTAGGAAGTGCGGGGCCCAATTTAAACCAAATTTTGGTTGAGCAAAAAAACCCCCCCAAAAACCCAACACAACCCAGCACACACAGAAACAACTCACAGCCCCTTTAAATTCCCAGAGCTACAGGGCAAAGTCCCGACTTCCAACCAAACCGACAGGCCGACACCCTGTCCCTCGGTGCACAGAAGCTGCCGTGCTCCTCCTCCGGGGCCAACGCCCCATCCCGCAGCGCACCCAGCACACTTCTGGGTTTAGGGTGCAGGGCCCTTTTAGGTGCGGGGCTCGATTTGGGGGAATCGGGTGAATCAGCCTACAGCCGGCCCTGGGAGCAAGGCCCCCTTGCTCTCTGTCCTGATCAGCTCTGGCACTGGGCAGCTAATGGGAATGTTTCCTGTGGGGATTTTTCACAGGAAAAACGTTCATTTGAAGTTTTCCCACAGGAAACCAGTTTTCCCACGGGAAAAATTTCAGAAATAAAGAGTGTGTGGAAAAAGTGACTTACACCCACTTTCTGACTATCTTCCAACTTGTGCCAGTTGGAAAACAGTAAGCCAGGGTTGAAAGTGTCTCTCTTGGTCCGAAAGCAACTCCGTTCTTAATCCATCCATTTGCTTTTGTAGGGAGCAGGGGAAAACAGCCGTTTCCTCACACTCTCAACATGAAAAATTTCAAAAATACCAAAAAAACCCCAAACCTCTCTTCCCCAACTTTTTTTCCATTTAGTAACTTTTTCAAACAACGAAAAACACTGTCAAAACCAAGATTTTTTTCACAGAAAACCTTGTTTTTGATTAAACCTCTTCTTTTCACCTTCACGGGGCCCTGATGCGAGCAGCACTGCGTACCTGCCCTGTGCAGGACTGAGTCAGAATGCAGAGCTTACTAGGGCAAGGAAGCAGAGCCCCCCGACACAGCCTGGCTGGGCCCTGTGCACATGTAGTATAGCCAAAGCACTGGACTAGAACTAGGAGACCCGGGTCCTATTCTCGGTTCTGCTAATCCCCTCTTAAGCAAGAAACATCCTCGCTGTACCTCAGTTTCTATACAAAGGAGATAATGATCCTGAACTTGTTTGTAAAGTGCTCTAAATCTACCAAGAATGATTATTATAACGTGTCCGAATTTAATCTCCCTCTCCCTTGATATAGAGGAAGAGACTTCTTAAAGGTGCATTACTCAGACAAGTTGTTTTGCAGTGATAGGGGGAGGCTGGGCTCCTTCCCATGCTACATCAGTAAGAAATGTCACAACTGGCCAGGCAGCCCCTGAAGTGCTGTGTCCCGCTACGGACACCCCAACAGGATAGTGTGCGCACTCACTGTCAGGGAGGAACTGGACTCGGTCCCCCAGCGCCTTGAAGTAAGGGTGTCGCAGGGCCTCTTCAGCGGAGATCCGGCTTTTGGCTTCATACTGTAAAAACCACAGAAAAAAGAGGCCGGGGTGTCAGTGTATGATGGGCGTGCGGTGATGTAAGCTTTGAGTGCATGCGTGAACGATTACACCCGCTCTGTGTGTGTGTGTGTGCATGTGTTTACCTACGCACTGTGTGTATCCTTACATTGTGTGTGGGTGTTAGGTTCGGGGGGGAGAACGTGGGGAAGGGATGTCCCCACTTTCAATCAGGGTCTCTCCGAAGGACACCCAAATCCCACGCTGAGGGTGCGGTGATGTAAGCTTTGAGTGCATGCGTGAACGATTACACCCGCTCTGTGTGTGTGTGTGTGCATGTGTTTACCTACGCACTGTGTGTATCCTTACATTGTGTGTGGGTGTTAGGTTCGGGGGGGAGAACGTGGGGAAGGGATGTCCCCACTTTCAATCAGGGTCTCTCCGAAGGACACCCAAATCCCACGCTGAGGCACC